AAAACAACAAAGCTAACTTAAGTGCTGCTGATTACAGCAGTATTCCCAAAACATGGGGCCTGGTCTGTCTACCACCTGGGGCATGAAAAAAACAAAACAAACGGTGTTGTAAGCATTACATAGTTTAATAACCATCCCAAATATAGTGTTGCATGGTATAAACTTTTGTTAACTATAACCAAAAAAAAAAAAAAAAAAAAAAAAAAAAAAAAAAAAAAAAAAAAAAAACACAAACTCAACAAGTACAGGAGACATCAGAGGAATGCATACCGTGTACATATTTTAAGTCAGACATGTCTATATTTTAAATTAATTTAAAAAATCATTTTATGTTACATCAATTATTCTATTAGTTTTCCCATTATTTTTGTATTATTAATATATTTTTGGACGATGTCAATGGCAGTGGAGGGTGTGAAAGAAGGTTGTACAATCGTGCGTTCATACATATTAATATGCAACTCAGACTGGAGACTCCTGATAGTATAACAGGCTAAATATTTGCAGAGACAAGTACTACAAGTTATTTTGTCGAGTTTCCTCTTAAAGAAACGCTCAGCTTCTGAGTTATTATTTTATTACCTTCATATAGACACAACTCATAACCCGAGCCAAACAGAAAGTCATATAATTCTACTGTAATGTAGCCTTTTAAAACCAGGAAACGACACCTTAGGCATGCATATGCATAACAAACCATCAATAACTGTGCAGTATTACTAAACTGGTTAGCAAGAAGACTTGCACAAACTTTTACAAGTTCCCCCCCGGTCCTTCTCCATTTACCTTTCAAGCTACTCCAGCCCCCCCCATGTGAAGAAAGAGCCGTTTCACCATGCTTTACCAAGTTCCTGCATTTCTTATGTGAAGCACAAGTGTTGCGGCTTGACTTCAACATGTCTAAACCTGCATCCAGTGAAACGTTACAACATTCATGCAACAGTCTAAAATAAAAAAAAAAATAGAGCTGGCAAATCTCGAGTAACCACTCTTCTTATCACCACCATCATCTTCATAAACTTGTCTTTTTCTAACGACGTGCTGACAGAAACATTCACAAAGCGTGAGAGATGATCTGATCATTGCTCGAGTTGTGATGCATTCAATTCAACAAGCTGCAAACTAATTATTCCCACGGTCGTTTAAAAATCGGTTGATTCATTTATTGATTAACTGCTTTTTAGTCGATAAATATGTTAGAAAAATGACCTGAAAAAAAAAGAAAAAAAAAGTGAGTCTTCAAATTGTTTTCTGTGCATTAGACTCTGTTATTGCTCATATTTGAGCTGTAATACTGAATTATTAGCTCGTCAGTTTACTACAACACACTTTGAGTTGCACAGAATTTGTAGGAAGGGTACTATAATGTGTATAGTACTTGTACAGACAAGTATTGTCCATTGAAAGTCAAGCTCTGAGAGATGAACAGCAAACACTCACTTTGGAGAAGCTAGACTGGCATTTTGTTTGAGGATTAAATTAAAGCAACGACAACAAATCAAAATAGTTATTTTTCTGTTGAGCAACTAATATTCTGCTTTTAATAACAGCATTATTAGACCGCACAAAAATTACACAGCCGATTGTGTCGGTGCCTATTCTCTGTATGCATGCCTTAAAAAAAAAGAAAAAAAAAAAAAAAAAAAAGAAAGTGTCTAAATTCCAGTAAACTCATTGTTTAATTTAACAAAAGACTTGTTTGTGCAACCTCCCCGCCCACTGTGTAACATGAGAGTCACGCCTGGAACTAACCAGTTCTGTCATGTCATTGTGAGGCTGCAGGCTGCAGGCTGAGGAACTATATCTGGTGGTTTTGCATCACATTTGTGTTACACACAGTTCCTCATTCTGACCCATTGAGAAACGCAACCTTTGACCTCTCTGTGGCGCATGAACGAGAGAAACGAGGAAGGACAGAAATAACCCTGTTGCATGTCTTCACGCAGGTTGCACAGCTTCACGCAGGTTGCACAGCAGGCTATAACTTTAAGTTTCACCTCCACGCACATGCGCAGTGCTTGCAAGTTGCAGCTCGTTGCAAGATGTCATTTTTAATAAGGCTAATGTAAACAAAAGTTTAATAGAATAAGCACAGACGTAATGTTGTTAGCTAGCATAGTTTGCTGATGTGGCTAACGTAAGTAGCTACTGATACTAAATTAATAAGTAATCGGATTATCAGATTGTCAACTTTACGTAGTTAACGTAACAAAAGTAAAACTATCGTACAAACCTCCAAGGAGTTGGTTAGCTTCACGGGTAGTTAGCTAACATTAGCATGTCGGTTTAAAATGAATGAGATTGATGCTAACGTTTCACACGGAGGTCATTCACACTAAGCGCTCAGTTAGTTAGCATACTAACCGAGCTAGCGTTAGCATGCTATTGGAAGCAGAGTGTGCGTTTTACCGTTAAAGTCTCCGGTGTCTGCCACCACCACGGTGTGCTTCTTCAGCTGGTTCAGCGCGGACTCCATCTTCCTCCGTTTGTCTGGTGACAGAGTGGACATGATGAGGACAGACAGACAGGGGACCCTTTTTATACACAGACAGCACGTGAGAGCACGCGGAATGTCAGAGAGACACGGGAGCGCGCAAAGTAGTGAGCGGGAACGCGCTACGGACAAATTAGACTTCAAGGAAGCTCGTGCAGAACAGGAAGTAGAGAAAAAACAGATATATGACTATTACAAATCTAATGTATTACAGATTTTACAGATTTAACTATGCAAGTCATAGTTATATTACATCAAGTGGTGGAGGAAGTACTGAAATATTTTACTGCGTTTAAAACTTAATTTAAGGACAAGTACACAAGTACAAGCATTACAATATCCTTAAAGTACCAAAAGTAAAAGCACTCATAAGCAGCATGGCCAAGTTCAGAATATTACAGTATTATAATTAGTGATAAGTATTTGGCTATTAATGTTGCAGCTAGTAAAGTTGGGGTCAGTTTTAATTACCTTATGTACTTCCTTTATAGTACATACATTTCTAAAACATTTATAAATTGATTATACTTTGTATTGATGATCTTAATTTTCAAAGTTACTTGTAACTAATGTTATCAAATAAATGGAGTCCAACATTCACCTCCAAAATGTAGTGGAGAAGAAATATAAAATAACTAGTATAAAGTAGGCTAGAGTAGAAGTATAAAGTAACATAAAATACAAATACTTCAAAATTACACTTAAGTAGAATAATAATAATATAACAAATGTACTTAGCTACATCTCACCACTTACGCATACCTCATATAAATATGTCTCATAAGTCAATGAAGTAATGTAGAAGATGTATCCGATGTCTAAAAGTAGTAATAACTACTCCATTACTGGTAAAAGTCCTGTATTCAAAATGTTATACGCGTATAGGAAGTTTTGTTAACCCTTATAATTAGGGATGCACAATATCTATAAATTATCGTCTGATAATGGAAAATGTATATTGTTATTTATTATTCCAATAATTAGATTATAGCGGATAAATTATCGTCCGTTAATACAAAGCCAAATTACTTTCAAATGACTGAACAAGTGCAGCATCTACACAAAGAAGACACAATTATATTTTGCATTACAAGATTTGAAGAACTTTAGATGAATATATAAACATTTGACGAGTCAGAACTATTCTTTGTTGTGTAAACAACAGGTTGTTGTTTTTAATGTTCATATATATATACTTTTCATATATATATTTATATTTGTACAGAATAGATGTTATATGCTTACCTCTGTTTTACTTTGTTGTCTATTTCTGTGTTTGTAAGTTGAAAGCAACGGAGAAACCGGAGTCAAATTCCTTGGGTCCGCATACATGGCCTATAAAGCTGATTCTGATTCTGATATAGAGAATGAAATAGTCCATCTTTGCTCTCTACTCAGCCTTTCTTACCCTCAGGTGTGCATATACAGGCTATGAGCTTCCTTTGAAAAATGCCTTGTAGGTATCGGCAGGTTGGTATCAGTCATCTTATCGGCCGAAAAAAATCCATATCCTCCATCCCTCCTCTCTGAAAATCACTGGTACACTAAAGTCTATTGAAGGAATTAAGTTGCAATCTTGAATCTTTTACTTGCTATGCAATGAGATTTAAATGACTCTGTGAATCGCAGAATACCACATGAAAAATGTAACATGTGGTACATGTAATAACACAAAGAGTACAGCCTGCTGTGTGAGTTTGGTTGCTTGATTATCTCAATAACTGTTCTGAGGCACCCGCTCCTGAAATATCTTCGTGCCCTCTGGTAACAGCTACTTGAACACGACTCTTATTAGCAATAATATGGGGACAATTTAATTTAAGAAACCATTACATTTGCTGCGATTGCCTCGCGCACCTTTCAGTTTATGTGCCTGTATTAAAAAACGAGACTTCAGCCCTCAGGCTTTAGCAGCTTAATGATGCTGTCACTTACTCCAGTACCACTCTTGGAGGCCTCATTCACTGATAATGATATTTAACAATAATTTCTCTTTTACAGTAATTACAGGGCGTTGATCATTACCTGAATGATTTCAATGAGCTTCGTACTTTTCCATGTGTGAAAACCTTCCAACAAACTATTTCCACCCCAAAAGCAAATATATAAACCTCCATCAGTGCAGTTGCAGATGCATGAACTTTGTGATCTCTTCTCTTTGTAGTTGTTGTTTATCTTCCCGGAGGGGCAGCTTTGTTATATTAAGGTTGTAGGTCTATGCTTATTCTTGTTTTTTTGTGGTCTATGACATTGTTTCCTGCATTTAAACGGACAGTTCACCCCAAAGTCAAAAATACATATTTTCCTTCAATACAGCATGATGTTCATTTAGTACATTATGGTCCATTTAGAGTCACACAGACCATAAAGCAGGGTATGCTTTAGGGCGGGGCTACACGGTGATTGACAGGTTGCTGTCTTGGAAACGCGATGACAATTACTACTCTAATGAAAGAATAATTTGCTTATACTCCACAGAGCATGTCTGTGGACGTCTACTTGTGTTTGCTACAAGCAGCTATTTGTATTCATCTGATGCTGCTTTTTAAATCGTCGTCTCAATAAGAGCCAATGGCCTGTAAATTACTTTTTGCAAACTGTCAGTGGCAGCTCCACAAAGGAGGATTGTCTTACATTAAGTGCGATAACTTTACTCACCACTGGATGTCGACCTTCTGCTGTTTTTTTCTCTCTCACATGTGCACGTGCATCCATGTTGAGAGAGAGAGAGAGAGAGAGAGAGAGAGAGAGAGAGAGAGAGAGAGTCTGTGGAGAGAAACAACTTCAGAAGTTTTGTGATACTCTGAGGGAAGAAGAGGGAGAGCCGGGAGTGAGATAAGTGAGTGGTAAGTCATTTCTCTGTATTTAAATGAGACTACATCCACTAACTCTTATTCCTGACTTCTCTTCTTCTCTTCTTCTCTTCTTCTTGTCTTTAACTCTGTATTCCAGCTCCGACACTGATGTCAGTGACCTTGTTTTAGAGATTTAACTTTGATAAATAGGTGTGCTTTTGCCGGCTGAGTTTGTCTAATTAGAATGGATAAACTACGTCCAGGTTCCATTTATCTAGCGTGAATCGGTTAGTGAATGTTTACTTAAAGGGTGGGATTACATTAATCATACTTGAGCTTGCTCTCTGTGATTTCACTCTTTTGAATGTTTCCCCCCCCCAGCTTGTTAGTTGTTGTCTATAGTTGTTTTATGTTGTGATTGTGCAAACGTGGTGATGTGGTGAGAATGAAGCTCTCTGATTGGCTGAGGAATGTTTCCCCCGGGGGCCTCGATGAAAGACAGAAATAAACTTGTGGAGAAGAACAACATTTCAGAATACCGACCATTCCTCCCGTGATTCCCTCCCATCAGTTTTCTTTTTCTTTTTTTCTGGAGTTGTTGCAGGAACTTAAGGCCTCAGTGATTTCTTGAGCCGTGGCTGGCTGGCAGAGTGCAGAGGAAATCACTGGCGTACAATGTGCCCTTGTGTTAGGTTAAAGTCTCCCACATGGAGCTGCTCCATATTACATGTGGCACATTAAACATTTATGGCAACGTCAATGTAGGCAGCATTAAAGGGGTCTACACTAAAAACTGTTCAAACTGAACATGTTCCTGTGGCCCATGTTGTTTTGTGGTGTGTATTTTTTTATTTTATTTTTAAAGGAGGAAAGTAAATCTCCCATTTGTCACAGAGAGATTTTTTGATAGATTTTACAGTTTGTGTTGATTCTCGACTGTTGAACACGGAGACATGTTTAGTGAGAGGTTTTACATTTTTATGTTCCACTGGCAGAAACCACAACAGACCAGAATGAAATGCGGCTACAAGACATTTAAATAAGGAGCAACACTTTGACTTTTTTTCTCGGCTAGAAAAACTCTCACTTCCACTGCGCTGAAGAACTTATGTCGTATAAACAAAATACATCAACGCTGAGATGCATTATGATAACGCATTAAAACGTGTTTAATGAAAGTCCTTAATGATAATGTAGATGTTGACTGTGGTGATAGTCCTCTGTATTTCAATGACAAGTGATTAAAATAGACGAGGAGACTGTAGGAAAGAATTCAATGACATCACAATTCTATGAAAAGTTATTCCTCATTTTTCCTGCCTTTTCCGACCAAAGTCCAGCAACACGTGTCAATTTATGCTCGTTATATTCATTCAGTCTCTTCAAAATAAACCTCTGTCTTCACAGGAAACTCAGTTTGGTTCAGGCAACAAAAATACTCAGTTAGGTTTAATAAAAGATGGTGAAATACTTAGTTAGGTTTAATACTGAGTTAGGTTTAATAAAAGATAGAAAAATACTGAGTTAGGTTTAATAAAAGATAGAAAAATACTCAGTTAGGTTTAATAAAAGATAGAAAAATACTTGGTTTGGTTGAGGAAAAGTTTGTCGTTTTGGGTTAAAATAACTACAGAAGTGCTGTTACTGAACTACGGCAGTTTCGTGTCAAATAAATCAACGTTGACGGGGAATAAACTGGGTGAATTATCGTTTGACCCGTCATCCCTCCTACCCGCCCTGTGTGTGCTTTTGCGGTCTTTATACTTCCTGGTTCATGATGACGTGGATTAATTGATATTGTGGCATGTCTACCAATCACAGCGCATTATTTTTCGTAGGTATAGCTACGATCGCTGGATGGGACCAGCCTGCACACATTGATGAATCAGACTATTGAAGGGCACATGTTTCCCCTCATGAATAAACCTAATGACTGCTGCCCATCAAATCTCCAGCTCTTGGTGACAGTCAGACTGCCATGACACGTTCCAGGACAGAGACAGCAAAGAGAGGGAGACAGCTTTCTACCCCCCCATGTCCTCCCTCATGTCATCAGCTCCAGCCGTACTGAAGCTGATGACTCTGCTGGCAGCTGCCCGCTGTTTACGCTCAGCCTGCAATCACTGGCCAAGACCAGACCTGCTGCTGATACACTATTTTTTTTAAATTGCCATGGCGTTTAGTGACATTCCAGCTATTTTGACGGAAGCGGTGAAAATATGTTGGAGGTGTTTTCTTTAATCGTTTGTCCAACGGGAGCTCAACTTGTGGGCTCGTCTAGGTGTGGCAACTCCCTGGATAATGGCCCTGAA